CTAATTCGTTTTATGTACAATTTGATCGAACACCAGTTGGTAGCAATACGGAGAAAAGTGAGCTGCTATTATAATAAAAGGAACGCATTATTTTCAGTTGCCTCTTGGTCCTCTAAGAAACGATCCGGTGGATGTAGATATAATAACAGGCAAACTGAGCGTCAGTTCTTGAGTACGTTCTGCTGAAATCTCTCTGGGTGGTCACACAAGCGGTTTTCACGTAGCGAATGTACCTGTGGTCGTCCGACTGGAACAGAGCTCGTGGCTCCGAACGCATTTCACGAATGATCAACGAAACAAAAAGCATCATCTTGACTAATTGATAGGACTCACCCATATCTCGTTGCCTCTTTTTCGTGGCAAATTGATACAGATACATGGCAATTTTCATGGACAGGTTATTAAATTTATATTCCAGTAAATAGGTAGACTTTCACGAAAGGACCAATTGACTGTGCACTTTTAGGGAATCAGAAATTTATATTATATGCTGAATGAAAAATGTTTGTACTAAGATTTAGAGTTTTAGATCCCCTATAATATACAATACAAGCTTCTAAATATTTAATATTAGGCATTTAAAGTCTTCTGTTATTCTTTAGCATTAATTTTCACACCTTCTTCGCGGATGATTAAGAAAACTGCATTTATGTATAGTAGACAGTGTAGCCTCGTGAAATTCATCACGGAGTATCCGAGAGCTACCTTGTAGTTTTTAGCTAGTTGGCTAAATCTGTATAGCCAGATTATGTCAAATGCCTGTTATAAGCTTTTACAACCAGAATAGTTACAGATTTAATGCAGGATCTGCTATACACAATCTGCTGTCAATCTACTTCATGATTCTGTCAGCAGGCTCTGCCCGCAAAACCCAAGCAAAATGCAGAAACAGATGGCTATAGATTTATGGACATATTTTGTTAATATTTGCTGCCAATCTGCGCAAATTGTTTATAGGGTATGAAGAAATTTGTTTTTGGTAGATAAACATGAAATTGTTAATCGAAATCTCTGGAACATGTGGAAAGAAGAAATGGGTTTTCTACCTTACGACTTTATTCTAAACCGAAAGGAAAGAGTACGCGATTCAGACATGTTTTGCATTCGATTAGTCGTAAATCTGAAATCTATATTCCTCTAGGAAGATTCACGATATGTATCTTTGCTAGGAATTGTTGCGGAGATACTGCTTTTATTACGCACAATGCAGCAATAATTTAAAAACCAATGGCTCTAGAATAATTATAGTTCATGTAAAAATATTGCAGAAAAATAAGTACCTACGCAGCAAACGAAATTAATCTTAGGATGTTTTATAAGAATCGCAATCACAAGTATTTGATATGCAAATGATAAGAAAGACTTCAGCAACGTTTCTTGCTTATACATCCAAGCCCTTATCGGATATGTATATATTGATTTAGCTTTGACATGATCGCGTTATATTGTGTTTCGTTTGTAGGCGATACCATGAACACTTCCAAAATATTTGATTCTAGATAGTGGAAACAATACTGTGTCAAATCAATATTTGTGCAAGGGTAGTCAAGTGTTCCCTGAATTAAGCGTTGAATACACATTATTTCGTGTATTTGTGGTAAATTAAATATGCCTGATAACGATTCAATGGATTAAATACGAATTTTACGGATTAGCAAAGGAATACAAAAATCGATTCAAGTGAAAATTAATTTCCTATCGTCCTTCAGTTAGAAGACAAATTTTATTACAACATACATTTAATTACCGTTGAAACTTTGTAGAAAAGACACAACATTTTGCTTAATTATACAAACTCGAAGGCATTACACATTACTGAGGATCAGCACATTACTACGTTTTTATTCTATTGTATACTGTTATTTTTCACGTCACATATTCATAAAAACCGCGTTCTACTTATGAGTTTCTATGTTCTATCGCCTCTGTTTTATTAGAAAATTATTTTCAAACCTTACATAAAAAGCAATATACCAATCGAAACTGAAAGTTTCATCGGGTCTGAACATTAAAAAATTCAACATTTAAATTTCAATTTTCATTCTTAATATCGAAAATGAAAATTACATAGATCCATTAATTCTGCATTATCATCCATTAAGGAGCTAGGCGAAACAGGCGAATTATGGAAATGAAAGTAAGACACCCAGATCGAAGGGAAACCTAACGACAGAAGGTGTCCGAGATGCAAGCAGGGGTGCCGCCGGGTTCTCAGAAAAACCAAAGAAAAGGGCCTGCTGTCGAAAGCTCGCGGGGTGCACCCTCCTTATTTGGGCCGTATTCGAAAGGCGATAGCCCCGTGTGGTTCACGTGCCACGCACATTTTGCCTGGCATTCGAGGTGGAAGGATCTCGAGGGACGATCTCAGTGTCGTAAGACTGCTCGAGATCGGCGTCCCCTGTCCTATGTTCGGGAGATTTTTTTAGGCAAGCCAGAGAGGTTTGTGTCGGAGAAAACAAGAAGGGTGTATATTCCTTAGCAGGAAGTCGATCCTTCGTCGATCTACACTTCAGCCGTCCTTCTGTCTTTCTTTCGCTGTTCCTCGACCCTTCACCCCTCGCCGTGCTCTCACCTTCAAAAACACGTCTCCGGACCACCCGCGTGTGTGAAAGTTTACAGCTAGCTACAGGAGAATTTAGGCAAGCATTCGTAGAAAGAGTGCTTCGAACTTGTATAGCGAAATTGTCCGCCGCCGTGAAGCATTGTTTTCCATTCCGAATCCACTATCCCGTTCCATATAACACCGATAAGTACGAACTTCACGGTATCGCCGCGGGAAGTAAACAATACGTTTGCACAGTGTTCAAGATAAGCTATAAATCACGATCATTCGTAAGTGGTACCATAAACTTCCGCGTTCTTTTACTACTGTATTTCTGATAATGGTGTTAGAGATTTAACTGTCACAGATATCACTAACAAGCAGTGTATATCTTTCACATTGACTTTTAATGATTTTTTATAATTCTCTTTACGGGCCTACGGTTTTAATTATGTTGTATTATTTAACCATCCGTAGGCAATGCGAGCCGTTAACGACCCATCGAATTCCCATTTTTCCCAGACTTTCCTCTGAATTTGTATTTTTATTGAAAAAAGTTGTAAACATTTGACTTAACCAACGATTGTACAATGTAGTAGAGACATAAACGACCCGGTTTGCCTACGGAGGGTTAACAATCACATTCCCAAAGAAAATGTTTTGAAGAATATCTTACCAGTGTTTGAAATGTAAGAATTTACAAAATCTATCAGAAATTGTGTATTCATTGTGGGATTGAATTCTTCAACGTTCTGATTTGTTATTCGCCATTCCCAACGGAGGGAAGTCGATTACAGGCATTGTCAACGGTCAATTTCGTTTTTCGTTGATTGCTGGTATAGCAATAACCAGTAGACAGTAATTTGCATCGAATTTATACTTCCATCTTGTCCCACTGCCAGTCCCGAAAGTAGGGCTCACGAAGTGGCGTGCGATCGAGCTATTATCTATGTCTAGTTAGCGTAACCGTTGGCAGTCTCGCGGAGACAGCGATGCTCGTATAACCCGCAGAGAACGTGTGCTTCTTCGATTAGATGGCTGACGATAGGAAAACCACGGGAGACTTGAACGCCGGCGTAGGAAACGTCGGACCTATCCGCGAGACGTACTACTCTTTCACTGTTTTTCTTTCGCCATGTAAATCACGAGTAGGCTATTTAGTAACGCGCACGCATCCCTCGTTAAACCTGTCATCCTGTTTAACTCTACTGTCACCGAAAGTGACTTTTGTTCACATTTTGAAACGGTCCATAGACTTGTGTATATTTTTCACAATGTATAGGAAAAGATCAAACGACGGTAATTATGTATGATGACGTAGAAACGTACTGCGTGGTCATAATAACAACGAACTGTACAAGTACTTGAATACATAACTATGTTTAGAATAGTAAATAAATGTGATACGTTTGTGGTAATAACTTTGTAATGCACTCTAAAGGTAGTTCTTTAAAAAAAAATGTAAAACCCTATTTGTACACTGCTACTATCCTTGCGGTCAAAGATTGATATCAAACTGTAATGTAGTGAAAGTATAGATTTTTTTTTCATTAAATACAAATAATTATATTCTCTTATATCTCTTAAAAATTTTAATAATAAGAGATTATCAAAAGAAAATTTGTTGTAAAATATGATTTTATATGAAAGACAGTAAGATATTCCAAACTTTTAGCTGGCGGTATACATATGAATATGTATACTTTAGAATCTTTTTATACTTCCTTAATTCAGAGAAACCAATTCTGCAGATGGTAAATAAATAAACCAATAAATTAGCTTCCTGTACTAATATTTGTATTCTTCTTCACAGTTCATTTTAATAAACATGTACGAAAGAATGATGGCCAATGACATATCTTAAGAGATATTAAAATGCAAACGTACTCCAATTTTATAAATAACTGAATATCCTGACGTAACATAATTATATACAGCAGTCAAGAAAAATTGTATCTGTTAACCATTTAGACTTCAGATGGTCGACGTTTTCGGAAACCATGCAAGAGGCAGTGATTTGATTATAACTTAGGAAATTGTACGTGTAGTTTTGTATAGTACAAATAAACAACACGAAATATGAATAGATATAATAAATTATTTTCTGATACCGAATGTAAGTTACATGACGCCTTTGGTAATTATCGCGTTTAAGTATATTTTACTTGTCCGCATCTAGTTTCTATACTACTTAAAATTTCTTTACAACCAGATAGATATTCCGAGTTTTGTTGTTTATCTGTCAGTACGATGTAAATCTAATGATTACAAATTTCACGTAACCTGGATCAGAATGAGCAGAGGCAGGGCCAAAAGAGGGTAAATGTCAAAAATTGTATAAGACTCCTATAAAGTGTTCAGTCTTTATAAGCGCAACAAGAAATTCTTATTAAATAATATTACGGTGCAGTCGAGACATTGCAATTAAAACTAGTACACATACACAAGTAAAACTCACCTTCTCGAGCTGATCCAACGCTATCGCAGCATCAGTCCAACTTGGCCTAATGTAAAGGTCCGATTCGTGTCGTTCTTTCGCGTTTTCGACACTGGATTTAACATACTTTTTGTTGTGAACTTTGGACGTATTTCCATTCTGCGACGATTGCACGCCTTGATGGCACTGAGAACCAGAAGGGCGTCCCGCTAGGATCCCTGTGGGGCCGGACGCAGAAACCATGATCCGTCATGCATTCGCTCCGGCACAATTCGCAGTATGATTATTTGTAATATTACTCCCCACCGAGAGGTACCTTTTAACGTCGATCTCTCGGGGCTTTTCCTTCCCCCTAGTCGCCGTTATTCGTAACGTTACGAACCACGAAACGATGTCAGGAACGATACACGAGGCACGAAAGAACACGTAAACGATTTCACACTCACTGTTACTACGCTTTTACACGTAATTCTTACACGAACTTCTCGTTAAACACATCTCACAGCACACGTACGATCAGTCTTCTGTATTTACCGCGCGGTTTCGCGAACGTCGTGTCGGTGCGATGAGCACAGTAATCGAAATTCGCGCACGAGGCACACACAAGTTGTTCTGCGCATGCGCGACTGTATCGTGCCCATCGATGGTATACGCACAAAACGGACCGGGAATTGGTTTTTAGGTTAGCTTCGTCCACCGTAGAAGAGTAAATATGTGACTGCTCCCTCTTCTCCGATTCGTCTTTTCTTTCCGTCTTCTTTCTCTATCCTCTTCTTTCCCTTGCTTCTGCTGGCTACGGGGTCCTCGTATTCCCTCTCTCTCTCCCTATTCTTGTATCTCCCTCTCGCGGGATCCACGGTACCGCCAACAAGCACGAGGGCGCACACGCGAGTTTGCTTGTTTTGAAATATCACGCGACAAGCAGGATTACTGTGTCGATGATTGTCCGCCGTTTTCGCGGGAAAACTGTCACACTTTTGTACGCGTCTTCTGTTTCTTATATTCTTGAAGCAATGGGAGCACAGTTGATACTACGTCAACGATGACAAGATGAATTGAGGTCTCTGTCGGCACAATATCAGCAGCGTGGTACGTAGTCACGCGCACTTCAGTGTCACTGTCACGATTCTTGTCACTTGACACAATTAGATCTGAGTCGAAAATTCACACTACGTTCGACGATATTTGCCACGACTACCGAATTCGTATAAGCCCGCCTGTAACGAGCATCCGGTTTACGAGAGAAGGCGTAGGCGACGTTAGAGGACGAGTGTTCCACGGTCCAGCAAGGGCAGCTGGATACTTTTATCAAAGTCTGAAAGTATCTCTGTCACGCGTTTTGAAACGACGTCGTCGTCGTCGTCGTCGTCGTCGTCTTCGTCGTCGTCCTCGTCCTCGGACACCGGCGTACACGACCGCCACTTAGAGCAGTCTAAGTCCGTACTAAGCGAAATGCGCTGCCACATTTCTTTCGTGGCCTGCCTTCTGCGCCGGCCATAGTTGACGGCCCCCCTCCAACGCCGCCACTCGCCGAGATCGGAGCTGCACAAACATTCAGGGCCGTAGTATCTCGATCATTCTGGAACGAACCTGATTCATTCAAGGCGATTCGCGGGATTTTGATTTCGGTAACAGAAATGAAAACAAATAAAGTATCAAATATTATCAATTGTAATTGAGATCTTCTTAAATCAAAAACACTGAATACAAAATACGAATTTATGTACAAATACATTTCTCAACTATTTAAAAACCGAAAAATAGTGACAAAAGTATCGCATTAAATTCTTGTACACAATTGTATTCGATAGACAAGTTTTTTTTACACTTTAATGTTTAAAGAAATCTGATTTTACATTACAATTAAAACATCGGATGTAGATGTTGTTTGTTCTTTTATGTATCAGATATGTAAAACGTTTGTATACATACTTGCATTTAGGAAAAATATAAGCGTCTGTAAGTTAAAGTAAATTACCTGAAAGTGAAATACAGAATCTCATCCGTAACAAGAATACTACAGGCCACTGTTTTCGCGGCACAATGGCACGTCCCTGCAGGTACCGGTGACGTCGGAGCCGAAAGAAGCCGAGTTTGGCCGACCCGATCAAAACTCATTCGTGATTGGCCGAATCGGCGTGGCGTTCTACGTTGCTAGGATACGGCGATGTGCCATCACAGGAGGTGCAGGGGGCACGACGCAAGACCACACACGCGGTACCATTTCCCCTCGAGCAAAAACATTACCCACACACGGCAGTGACTACGTGACACGCACGAGGCACACAAGAGCGTTTACAGATCGCCGCATCATCTCTTTCTCTCTTTCTCGGTTTCCCTCTGTCCCTTTCTCTCGTCTCTTCTCTCTCAATTTCTTTTCTCTCTCCTCGTCATTGCCTCCACACCGTCTCGAGAGGTCTTGTATACGCTTTCTTGCGTTCTGTGTTAGTAGAAAAGGTCTCGACGATCCGTGGAGCACAGTAAACGCGGTCGACGTGCGGTGAAGAGTTGAAGACGAGCGGAAGAGTGCCGCCGATGTACCGAACGTAAACACGACTCCCTTACGGGCCTCTGAAGATCGAAATCGCCGTTGCTGCGGGCAATAATCGCGACCGGAAATGCGGGAGTTTACCGCGTCAGTTACCGTCACCGCCACCGCGTACTCAAGTAAATCTGCATAATTGATTACACTTTTCTCTGTTACCATTTGTTATGATTTCATTGATGACTGCAGGTATGGGATTCGATCGCATTATCTCCTATTATTATAACTGTATTTTAGCATACGATTTAATTTTACTGAACGCATCACTTTTAATCGCATGACACTTAGCAAAGGATATATCGGCATATAGCCAACAATGAAAACATTACAGTACTTCGTCCATGGAAAAGAAAGGAGCAACTGTTTTGAATGCGTTCATTAAGCCACGGGGAGGAACGTTACACCGGACGATTAACTTATTAACCTGTCTTCATAATATCTGCATAACGTTGCGACTTCATTAGGCGTCGTACACCACTTCCGTGCGTCGATTCGCGTGTGCGTGTGCGCGCGTATGAACGCCGTAACGCTCATTGGGCATCCTCGCACGCACTGGATACTCGTGCGCACGTGTATGACGTGTGGTGAGGAACAGCGGGGAAAGAAAGATAGAGAGAACAGGGGAAAACGGAAGCGAGAGAAAGAGGGAGTCGGGGGAACAGAGAAAATTAAATAAGAGGGAGGAAGAGAGCGAAACAAACTGGCAGATCGAAAGAGGTAATGTGTAAATACGCGACCACCCACAGTGATACCGAACTCAACACTCTGTTCCACCAAATACGAGACAATTTCCGATTCTGATACGGGCTAACGCTTGGTCTTTATTCTCCCCTTCGATTCACAAGAGTTTGCAACTGCTCTCGTTGACTGCCTCCAACGAATTGAGTCAGCAACGAACGACGGAACATTTTTATCTTATAAACATTATAAAACATTACATAGCTATCAAAATTTGAAACTGTTCCGTTGTTGGATTCCGGGTGATGGAATCTATACAACACCTTTAAAATAAAACTTTATCAAGAGGTTTTTATTCGTAATGGCGCACTAAGCGCCAGAGTGACTGAACAAGAATTACCGTGTCTATGAAATTGCATAGGGTCTTATATATGTACTAACGCTCTGTCGTCGGGAGGGGATGCTTGTGGGCCTTAGTATGGGATGAGTAACTAGGAGTTTGGATATAATAAGGATGACTAACTTGTTTGGAACAGAGCAGCGCGGTCGCAATTATTCGTAGAGTATATCAGAGTAAATAGGTTGGTCATCCAACACCGTACATTACAAAAGCCGATATTGCTTCCTGTCTGAAGATCGCATAAAAGAGGACCGACATTTGTTTGCGTAACTTAATATTCAAACACGATACAGGTCGTGCGCGTTGCGTAGAAATAAAACGGGTGACCAACCAGTTCCTTATGTTGCGAAATCCGCATCGACGTCTCTTGGTTGTCTTTTATTCGCAGCATTAACAACTGTACATTAAAATATTGTGAAACGTAAACAAACTCTCGTATATATACTTTTTTCTTTGCATATTTATTTTATTATTTAATTTATACTCAGACATATTGGCCAATCGGCGAAGAATTAAATGTCGCGAATACAAAGTCCCAAGTAGAAATAACAAATACAGTGAAACGAAAGCAGAGAGGAAACGTCATTGCATATTGTGTTGGCAGGTTCGACGAATGCACCCCACTGTAGTTGCCGATCCGGCGATAAGGCACAGCGTCCGGAGGGACCGTTAATAATTTTTACGACATTCTTAACTCGCCACCCAGTATTAAGCGGTCCTCCGTAGAAGACAGGCTTTGATCTTTGCCGACGCTGCATCGGCTTAATGAGTGCGAGAGGAGGATAGATGGTGGAACCAGCTTGAAACAGAACGTGCGTACGGCCGCACGAGAATCCCCTGTGGATCTATTTTCCACAATATGCATCTCTGTAGCTCGGGTTGCATCGTTACAGGCATCGGCCGCAGTATCAATGTCTCATCGGATCCTCGATGAAGTTACAGTCGGATCGGACTTAATTAACCGTTCACGGCCACTTCTTTGACTTTCATTCTCATCAAAGTTTTATTCCACCACGAATATTTACCTCCTCTTGTTTGACACATAAAGAGTTTTTATACGTTTTTACGATGAGACGAAACATGATCATCGGTAACCAGTTGATTTTTTGATTCCATGTCGGTCGTAATAAATGGTAGTTGAAAACTTTAACTTTAATATTGGAAATAGATATTTATTTCATAGTGGAGTACACTTAACTCATTAAGAAAAGAATAGGAATGAAATAATTTTCGATATCTCATCAGAATGTTATCCTGACGTAGGAAAAAAAAAATAATTACAGACGGGACGGTGGATTCATAAACAGTAAATATTCGAAATTATAGGGATCAAACACAGACAACACGTTTTATGTTATTTCCTAAAACAAAGAACGAATGGATATATCTATAAGAAAATATGGAAAAAGTGTCGATCATATGCGAAAGAATTAAATATGGGAGGGGGAATCGGAGAAAAGGCAGAAATGATAGTTTCTGGTGCGGCAGAGGGAGACGTAACGAGACGGGAAGACAAAGGAAAAAAAAGAAGATTGAGGGCCGGTAGAGAAAGAAGGAGGAATCTGATGAGTGGGGGAGAATGGAGAATGGGCGTAGGGGAAGGAGAGAAGTCGACTACTT